GCCGAGGTGGGCGGATCACGAGTCAAAATCTGAAAAATATTCAGAAGATATATACAAGTGTCTGTTTGTTAGATAGTGAAAACTGGTAATAATTTGGAGTGATAAAGTTTAGAAATGGTTACGCTCTTTTCCCAAAGTTGCTGAAGATTTTTTGAATTGCTTTGCTTTCTCCACAAGAACAAAGCATCTAGCCCCACTTTCCAGTTGGGGAGCCCCCCACCATGGGTTCCCCCATCCTGAGCAGGGCTGGCTTTTGCTGGGATGTCCCTGCTAGGCTGTGAAAGGGCCGTTGAAGGTGCTGGCTAGAGATGGGTTGCTGAGGAGCGTGTGACTTCCTGGCCATCTAATTGTGTTAGATTCATGGTGGAATCAAATTCCTTAACGAATGAATTGGCTGCTTCCAGCACAGGTCCTTTGTGCAAAGCTCCTTGAGGAGGATGACATTTAGATGTATTCTCTATAACTGATAGACCATCCCCAACCGGTGATGGACTCATTTTTTTTTAAAAAAGACAGCTGAGGATTCCATCAGCATTTTGAAGTAAGCTACCTCCATCAAAACCCAGCTAATCCCGAACCTGCAATAATAATAGTTAATAATAGTCATAATTTCCCTTTAGCTTTTTATTATGCTGTATTGTTCCAAAAAGACTTTCTTGCGAAACTAACAAGAGAGCATTTCCAAATGTACAAAGTATTGTAAAAGTACAAATAGCAATGATTGCTGTGTTGTTATCATTTCCACCTGACCCTAATAAGCTCCCAGTGAAGAAGGCAGGGCAGATCTGATTCCATTTTACAAATGAGAAGACCAACCATTTCAGCGGAGTGGTGGTCTCGATGTCAAATGTACATAGAGGTATTTGGGAAACACAGCAGGGACCATCTGATCTGGCAGGGGCAGGGGAATGCCGGGGGTCAAGGAAGCCTTTCCAGAAGGGGTGGGAGTTGGGGTGTGAAGGAAGAGCAGACCTTTCCAGCAAATAGGGTGGCACAGTGCAAGCCAGCGAAGGGTGTCATGGTGGAGAATGGGTGTCTGTTAGCACGGCCGTTATTGAGGCCGAAAGGAAACCAGAATGTCCTACTGGACAGCCCTCAGTTCTCCGGAGGAGGAAATGGGTTAGGATGTGTCTCTCTTGGTCTCTTTGCCAGAGCGGGCAGGAGGGCCCACCCATGTTGCGTTTGCAACGTGAAGCCTCCCTTCCCTCCTCTGACTCCGTGCATGTGAACCACGGACGCCTGTTGAGGGACCTTTTTCTGGGAAAATGGTAGAAAGAAGAAAAAGGGCAAGAGCATCGAGTTATGGAGACCCCAGAGGCCCTGGAAGTGGAGGCTCATTAAGTCCATCTGATTCAAGCCCTGAGAAGAACGGCCTAGAGGGCCACTTAGTGTCACCACCCACGACACTGTATGAAGACGCTCTCGTAACTCTTCCGTATGAAGAGACGTACTTGGGCCACTCTTGCCAGTCAGCCACTTGGGAAATACCACGGAAGACTCACTTTTTTTTCACTCAGAAGCCCTTTTAGAAAGAATTTCTTTCGGAGAAATTCCACTGAAATCAAGCCCATCAGGCTCACATGCTGATGATGTAACCTGTGGCGGCTGGCCCCTGGACACATGTGACCCACTCCGAAGACATCTGTCATGTCCATGTAGGGTATTGCTCTGCCTCAGAACGCAGCTCCTCCCCTACGCCTCCTCCCCCGCCCCTCCTCCCCCAGCTCCATATTTAGGCAACTGCCGAGGCTCCTCCTGTCCTCAAGGCTTATCATCCATCTTTACTGCTGCACCATAATGCAGTGGTTTATGTTTTTGTATTCACTGTGGCAGATAATAAAGGTTCCTCTTTTGGCTTCAGTTTTAATAAGACTATCAAAAACTACTTTACAGTTTGGGAAACTGAGGCCCCGAGAGCTGACTTGATGGATCACTTGGGGTCAGAACTGGTTGGCACAGGAGACTCGCTTGATTGAACGGAGATTTTTTTTTTCCTTACCGACTCTCTAGGTAGCAAAGCTCAGATGGGAGTCCCTCTCTTTCTTTCTCTCTTTTTGTAGCCATGTCTGGGTGTGAAACACACAGAACACCCTTTGCTGGAGAAACCTCTTTGTGCTACTTTAAATTCCCCACTTAGAGTTAATAACTGTTTATCATTATATTTAGTCATTGTTATTTGATGATGTTATTAATAGAGATGACTTACTGCGTGTTTCCTATGTACATATAGTATGTTTATATTATGCACCTGCTAAGAATTTTGCACTCTAGGTACACATAGTACTCTCAACAACCTGTGATCCTGTGATGCAGATATCATATTATTACATTGGCTTTGCAGAGAAAGAAACTGAGGCTTAAGGAGGTTATGAAAATCTTCCAAGTTTGTCACATAGGTAGTCAACTGGGTAGCTCGGATTCAATGCCAGGTTTACCTGACTTTAAAGCCCACGACCTTAACAATTATGCCTTATTAATTTCCTTTTGCAGATATTTACTCAGGATATTTGGCTTTCACCCAGTCAGTTTATTAGAAAGTTTATTTAAACAACCGAAAGGGCTGGTGTGGTCACTCATGCCTGTAATGCCAACACTTTGGGAGGCTGAGGTGAGAGGATCACTTGGGCCCAGGAGTTCGATACTAGCCTCAGCAACATAGTGAGACCTTGTCATTACACAAACTAAACAAAATTAGCTGATCATGGTGGTGAGTGCTCGTAATCCTAGCTACTTGGGAGGCTGAAGTGGGACGATCGGTCACTTGAGCCTGGGAGGTGGAGGCTGCAGTGGGCATGGGAGACAGAGCAAGACTGTCTCAAAAAATAAAGGTGGCCAGTGGCAGGGTGCAGTGGCTCACGCCTATAATCCCAGCACTTTGGGAGGCCAAGGCAGGTGGATCACTTGAGGTCAGGAGTTCAAGACCAGTGTGGGCAACATGGTGAAACCCCGTTTCTACCAAAAATACAAAAATTAGCCGGTGTGATGGTGTGTGCCTGTAGTCCCAGCTACTCAGGAGGCTGAGGCACGAGAATTGCTTGAACCCAGGAGGTGGAGGTTGCAGTGAACTGAGATCACGCCACTGCACTCCAGCCTGAGCAACAGAGCAAAACTCCATTTCAAAAAAGTAAAATAAAATAAAGTAAATAATAAACAAATAAAGGACTAACACATGTACATTTTTCCTGATTCTGGCCCTGCTACATTGGGATCAAATAAAACTTAAGGCCAGGCATGGTAGCTCATGCCTATAATCCTAGCACTTTGGGAGACTGAAGTGGGAGAATTGCCTGAGCTCAGGAGTTCAAGACCAGCCTGAGCAATATAGTGAGACCCCCCCATCTCTATCTATAAAAAATAAAATAATTAAATTTAATAAAAAAATAAAACTTAAAAATGTCTTAAGAGGTCTTGGCTCTGGACTAAGTCACACATGCATGTATTTGAGTTGCCTCTTGGTCTAAGGATCTAAAGTCTACCTCAAGGAGTCCTTCCTCAAAGGTCTGGTATCAGATGGGGTCCAGGATCATCATGCATGAGAGTGACCTGGTGTGAGTCTGCAAAAAGAGTCCAGGTGAACATTTGGCAAAGTAGTCCTTCCGCTATGGATGTTCAGTATTTGGTATTTCAGATAATAGTGAAATGGATGACTTGATGGCTTCCTATAATTCCCAGATGCCAGGTTTTGTGCTAAGTCAGACTCTTCACATTCTGAATCTTTATGATGATCACATGAGAAAGACCTTTTATTATTTTCATTTTTATGAGAAAACCAAGGTTCAAAGAGGTTAAGAAATTTGGCCAAGGTCACTTGGCTTACATATGTTTAAAAACATGTATATGTGAACATCATGTGAATTATTTATTTGGCTAACTCATTTGCAAAGCCTATTAGGTATAACTAAACAACAGAGATGGTGGGTTGACAAGGATAAAAATGTCTTGGAGGCTGGGCGAAGTGGCTCATACCTGTAATCCCAACAGTTTGGGAGGCTGAGGCAGGAGGATCCCCGAGGCCAGGAGTTCATGATCAGCTGTGGCATATACACGCAGTCCAGCTACTCAGGAGGCTGAGGTGGGAGGATCACTTGAGCCCAGGAGGTCCAGCCTCAGTGAGCTGTGATGATACCTCTGCACTCCAGCCTGGATGACAGACTGAGATCCTGTCTCAGAAGAAAAAGAGAGAGAGAGAGAGAGAGAGAGAGAGAGAGAGAGAGAGAGAAACAATGTTTTGGAAAAGAATGCCAGGGTTTAGAGAAGTGACTTAAAAATTATGTCTTAGATCAGATTTGTAGGGTTGCTTTGTATTGCCTTGTGTGACATATGTCAGGAGGATCGCCAAGGGTTATAAGCCCAGATTGCAGTAATAACTTTTACTCTGAATTTTGGTCTGAAAGACTTTTCTTCGTCTGGAGCTGGGCTGGCCTTGCGACCTCCTGCCGCAGCAGACACGCTGCCTCCAAGGTGGAGCTCATTGCCTGGAGCTTTCCCTCTGCATTGAATGAGAATTTATTTGGCCTTTTCATGAAATTGAGATTCTGTCCCACTTATGCAGTCCTGTTTAAGTGGCAGGCACTGAATATGGTTGCTTTCAAGCAAGATACTTTGTTTAACCAGGGGCCAGCGGAGTTCTGGATACACAGATGGCCATCCAAAAATGTTAAAAGAAAGAAAGAATGCAATCCTGACAGCATCTCTGAGAAGTGGTGCCTAAATTTATCACAGTCTTGCAGATGTGTAAGCTGAGGAGTAGCATTCAAGCAATGCACTCAAAGCCATGTGTAAGTGATAGTGCCTGATTCCAGACGCAGAGAACTCCAAGGCCAGTCTGCTGCATCTCTTACTAGTTTTTGGAAAAACCACGGCAAATTTTTAGAGTTCTAGTAATTTCTTTTCCCCTCCCACAACACGTATTCCCATAAACCAAGGACCACGTGACTAGTCAGTAAACAAAAGGAAATGCACATAGCAACTGTCGCTCCTAACATTCATGTTTCTTGCAGTTTCCAAGGTGGCTAGATCCATCAGAAGCTGAAGCCGCAGAGAACGCTCTCAGGACCCTTTGCCACTTCTTGAAGCTGAAGCCGACAGACAGCTGTTTGGAAATGTTTCCTTCACACACCAGGTTGCTACTGAGGTCTTTTTCATGTTGCAATCAGAGCAGTTGCTTTTTTTTTTTTTTTTAATCACTTGAGTGCTTTTAGAGATAAAGTCAGCTTCTGCTTCTTGACCGGGAGGCGTCTCCGGTGTGTGTGTTGGGGAAAGACAGATCTAAACTCCCCCAACCGAGGGGAAGAGTGGATTGCACAGGTGGGATTGCATGGCTACACTGAGATTGCCCCACCTTTAATCAGTTTGCCAGTGAGGAAGCCTCCTGTCTACAAAAAAGGCAAGAAAGAAAGACTTCATTCCCTCACTCACCTTCTCTTTCTTTTCCAGTTGAAGACTCGGCTTTGGAGGTTTTCAAAGCAGACGGCGCGTCTCCCTTGGACCGGCAGGGAGAAGTAACATTCTGCAGATCACTGTCAGAGGTCCAGAGGACGCAGACCTGCCTGGCTTGCATTCCCCTTGCTGAATGGCGTGTGCTGCCGCCGCCCACTGAGAACTCCTTTGGGATTCTGACTTGTGAGTAGGACGCGAGGCTGGGAAGATGCTGAGTTCCATCAAGTGCGTGTTGGTGGGCGACTCTGCTGTGGGGAAAACCTCTCTGTTGGTGCGCTTCACCTCCGAGACCTTCCCAGAGGCCTACAAACCCACAGTGTATGAGAACACGGGGGTGGACGTCTTCATGGATGGCATCCAGATCAGCCTGGGCCTCTGGGACACAGCGGGTAATGACGCCTTCAGAAGCATCCGGCCCCTGTCCTACCAGCAGGCGGACGTGGTGCTGATGTGCTACTCTGTGGCCAACCATAACTCGTTCCTGAACTTGAAGAACAAGTGGATTGGTGAAATCAGGAGCAACTTGCCCTGTACTCCGGTGCTGGTGGTGGCCACCCAGACTGACCAGCGGGAGATGGGGCCCCACAGGGCCTCCTGCGTCAATGCCATAGACGGGAAGAGACTGGCCCAGGACGTCAGAGCCAAGGGCTACCTGGAGTGCTCAGCTCTTAGCAACCGGGGGGTGCAGCAGGTGTTTGAGTGTGCTGTCCGAACTGCCGTCAACCAGGCCAGAAGGCGAAACAGAAGGAGACTCTTCTCCATCAATGAGTGCAAGATCTTCTAAACGCCAAGAGACTTCACACAACACTTACGTATGCGCCCCAGAGACTAATGGGGAGCAGGGGAAGCCAGGAAAACTTGGTGTTTTCTCTGGGTACACCCCAAGCAGCATCTCCTTTTGGATACAGTTATTGACAAGGCTTGGCCACTGGATGTTTTCACTAACTACTCTCTACAAGTGAACTCCTTGCCTGGGCCAGTTTGAAAATCCCTTGGGAAGCTGCAATGAATATTCAATCTTTGATTAAAAAAGTGACATAGTCTCCACAATTTTGGACAACGAAGTGAGTTTTTCAAAGAATTCCATATTTAAAGACACATTTTATTTAATAACACAATGTATTGCTTTTGTATATAATTAGTTTTCACACTTGGAAAATCTTTTCCTATATCCTTGAAAACATAAACTGCTCTGTGAGTGAAATAACCGTACGAAGCTCTTCATGTGTTTGTAGTGTTATTATTTTCACCTCAAGTAGAAAGTCTGTTGAAACCACTTGGCTGCTGGATTTAAATGGGTAATCAAATTTAAAAACGACCATAAATGAATCTTTGCAATTTATCTTCTACCTACCTGTTATTCAGAGTTGAATATAAAGTACAGTTCCATAAAATATCCTAATAGTGCCTAATCATTTTAAAGTTATCACTATATTTTTCTGAAATGATAAAACATCGTTTATTTACGACAGTGTCTTTCACTCAATTCCAATTAAACATTCCCCTCTCATTCACCAAGACTGACTGGAACTCCATCTTTCAGTAGAGAATCAGATTGCTCCAAGAAACAGCGACAGAACTTGAAACAGAACAAGCGGGAGAATCTCACTTTCACTTCTGATAGGGTAGCTCCCAGGTGATTGCAGTCTTCTGAAAGGCAGTGGGGTCAAAGTTCCATTAATTTGACAAATTTGTTATATTTAAGGTCTAAACTGAGCTGTTGTGGCAACATAATTTATGAATTACAGGATCTAGTTGGGATTATCGGGAAGGCGTCTACATATATATGTGTATGTAAGGGGGAAAAGGTAGAATTTGCAGCCTTTAAAAGAGAAAAATCAAAATGCCCAGCACAGGAAGAGAAAAGCACTTTGGCAGCTGCTCAGATAACAGAAAATTATCAGGGGAAATACTGAGTAAATAGACACACACATACTCTCACACACAACCTGCTCTCACACGCACACCTCAAACCCCACTCTCTCGAATAGTTTAAAGGCAATGGTGTTGCTCATCTGTGAAAGTTGAGAATACAGGACTACCTAACTTAAGGTAGAGATTGCAAAGGCTGGGCCAGGCACAGTGGCTTACGCCTGTAATCCCAGCACTTTGGGAGGCTGAAGCAGGCAGATCACAAGGTCAGGAGTTTGAGACCAGCCTGGCCAATGTGGTGAAACCACGTCTCTACTAAAAATACCAAAATTAACTGTAGTTCCAGCTACTCGGGAGGCCAAGGCAAAAGAATTGCTTGAACCCAAGAGGCGGAGGTTGCACTGAGCCAGGATTGTGCCATTGCACTCCAGCCTGGGCTAAAGAGCAAGACTGCGTCTCAAAAAGAAATTGTAAAGGCTGGCACCTAGATAGATCCATTAGTGCCCCAATCAAAACTTAGAAACACTCAGAACCACCTTTAGGAAGGTACATCATTGTTTTGGGGTAAAAATGGCTATTACACACAAAAGGTAAGGCGGCTGGCATCGATGACTTTGATTAGAATAGTTATGTTGACATAGCCAAACTACTTTTTCTAGTTCCTTGTGTGGTCAACTCCTTATGCCTATAATCAATATCAAAAACCAAATTTGTGCTCATTCACACATTGCCTTCTCCTTCTCTCTCCAGTAAAAGGCCTGGGACCGGGGTCTTGATCTCTGGTGGGAGGGTTGCCTTGGTTCCCTGGGGCCGACACAGCTGCCTTGACCCAGTCATCTCAGCTCCTCAGGCGGGGCTTGTCCTCGCCTCTGAGCCACCTGCCTCCCTTGACCCGAGAGCCCCTGTCTCTAGTTCTCAGCTCAGGGTGGGGGGCTTGAAAGATGACTGGGCAGGGGAGGGGAAGGGCTCTCATATCCTCTGATATCCCTGGGATCGTCTTCTTCACCCTCAACACACAGATTAAATCACAAATGCAGCCGTTCAGGGCCAGCCTTTGCGTGAGAGGTATTTGACATGTCAGTGGTAATGAATTTCCATTCACTGTCCCCCAGGCTTTTCTTCCTCTCTTGTTGAAGAGAGATGGGGGTGGGTATCTGAAAGAGGGAAGGGCTCTGGTACATGATCCTAAGTGAGGGAAGAGGAGGTGGTTCCACTGTGGCAGCAGAGCAGGAAGGGAAGGCCAGAGAGGGCATGGTCAAATGGCTATTCCGTCACCTGGGCAAGGACACCCAGGTGAGACCTACACCAGTGGGCAGGAGCCAAGCTTAGCAGCTCCTTCTGGGAACCCTTGCACCTGAGACCAGGAATCTATGTGTAAACCCTTTCCAGTGATGGAACGTGGCAGCAATGGAGCCAATAAGTGTCTGCCTTCCTGCTAGACCGCGGTTCTTGAAGGTAGTACTGCCTCCTGGTCTCCTCACTGTCCCCAGGGCTCAGCACAGGGAAGGCGATGGAGCTAAAGTTGTGTTGAACTGAATTAGAGGAAAGGCATTGGGCTTCTGCGCTGCTCAGTGGTTATAAAAGGAAGCAGACCCTCACCCGCCTTGCAGGGGTAAGAAGAAAAATAGGCCACCATGTGGTGTGTTTTCTACATGAGCACATTCTTACTTTTGCCTGCCTAGATGCAGATATGGGTTTTTTTTTTTTTTTTTTTTTTTTTTAGACAGAGTCTTACTCTGTCGCCAGGTGCCAGGCTGGAGTGCAGTGGCGCAATCTTGGATAGCTGCAATCTCCGCCTCCTGGGTTCAAGCAATTCTCCTGCCTCAGCCTCCCGAGTAGCTGGGACTACAGGCATATACTACATGCCCAGCTAATTTTTTTTGTATTTTTTTTTTTTTTTTTTAGTAGAGACAAGGTTTCACCATGTTGGCCAGGATGGTCTCCATCTCTTGACTTCATGATCCGCCAGCTTCGGCCTCCCAAAGTTCTGGGATTACAGGCATGAGCCACTGCGGCCCTGCCTGCAGATATGGGTTTCTTTTACTTCAAGAGTTGTGGTTCCTTTTTGTAGACTATTGCTTATTGATTCTTAACTATTCCAAGTTAATAGTTAATAGTTAGCTGTCAAGCAACATTAAATATGTTCTTGATGACATTAAAGAGTTAATTTGCATGGAGGGGTAATCCATCCTTGTCTCCATCAGTCTGGGCTGCTACAGTGGAAAACCATAGACCAGAGGGACTTCAACAACAGAAATATATCTCTCACAGTTCTGGAGGCTGGGAAGTCCAAGACCAGGCACAGCATGGTTGGGTTCTGGGGAGACCCCTCTGCCTGGTTTGCAATGGCTGCCTTCTTGCTGTGTTCTCACATGGTAGAGCAAGAGATCATCTTTCTGGGGTTTTGTCTTCTAAGGACACTAATCCCATTCAACCCTCATGACCTAATACCTCCCAAAGTCCTCACCTTCTACTGTCACACTGCAGATTAGGCCTCAACATTTTGAGATTTGTGGGGACACAAACATCCCATTCATAGCAATTCTATTCTGTCTTACTTGACACCCACTAGCTAACTGGGCAGCAGAATCCGGGGCAGTGAGTGACAAGAAAGCTGGAAGTGTCCTGATAGCTAAAGTTCGTTCGGTGCTTCAGATGCGCTGTGCTGGCCACCTTGTTAAGCATTCTTTCGCCACGTGTGTGTAGGCCGAATTACACTGAGTCCCATCTTACATGAGGAAACTGAGGCTTACCATGTTGACGTGACAAGGCCAAGCCCATGCAGCCGGTGAGTGGCTGCCCCGGGAGTCTCAGGCGGGTCTGTGTGGCTCCAAAGCTCTGCTCAGAACCACCCTGCCCCACTTCCTCCCAGAGCAGCTTGACGGAATGGCCTTGCCACATCCGACCTCATGTAGCTTGCAGCCCCACCCTCATCAGTCAAGTAGCCCGTATTTTAAAAAATACATGTTTAAATAAAATATTCCGAGTCTGATCTTTGTCCTCCCCTTTTCTTTCTGGCAATGAGAATGGGACCCATCTGTGTCACACAGCACCATCATTTGCAAAGGTCTTTATTCCAACCCTTGGTATTTAAAGCATAATTCCAAAGGCTGATTGCATGCAAATTGGCAGAGATGAAATTTAATGCTGTAAAAAGCTTGAGAAATGTTCCCTTTTACTTTTTTTAATTAATTTTTTTTTTTTTTATGGAGATAGGGTTTTGCTCCGTCACCCACAATGGAGTGTAATGGTGTGATCATGGCTCACTGCAGCCTCCACTTCCAGAGCTCCAGTGATCCTCCCACCTCAACCTCCCAAGCAGCTGGGACTACAGATGCACGCCACCCCTCTTGGCTAATCTTGAAATTTGTTGTAGAGATGGAGTCTTGCTATGTTGTCCAGGCTGGTTTTGAATTCCTGGGCTCAAGGGATCCTCCTATCTTGGCCTCCTGGAGTGCTGAGATTATAGGTGTGAGCCACTGTGCCCAGCCAATATTCTCTTTCTCTGTGTTTTGTTGTTGTTGTTGTTGCTGTTTCTTTTTTTTTTTGAGGTGGAATTTGGCTTTTGTTGCCCAGGCTGGAGTGCGATGGTGCAATCTTGACTCCTGGGTTCAAGTGATTCTCCTGCCTAAGCATCCCAAGTAGCTGAGATTACAGGCATGTTCCACCATGCCTGGCTAATTTTGTATTTTTAGTAGAAATGAAGTTTCACCATGTTGGTCAGGCTGGTCTTGAACTCCTGACTGCAGGTGATCCACCTGCCTCGGCCTTCCAAAGTGTTGAGATTACAGGCGTGAGCCACCGTGCCTGACCAATATTCTCTCTTTTTCTTGTCTCACTTTTCCGCCCCTCAGGTTTCAGGTATTTCCTTTGAATAAGGGAGTGACAGGGAAGAGGAAAGTCTAGTTCTTTTCTTTCAAGGATTTGGTACTTGGCGGGGGGGACCCTTCACCCAGAATGGGATGTGGTGGAAGGACTTGAGTTGGTGCCTCTGCAGAGTTATGACATAACAGAGGGGACCGGGCATCTGTGAATGTTCGGCCCCAGTGCTGAGAAAGCAATGCTTACAAGTTGAGTGAGATCAGTACCACTCAATAGTAGGGACCTACTCTTCCTGAGACTGCATCTGCCCAGAGAAAGCAAAGAAACATAATCGATGGCTAAGATCTCAAGCAGGTTTTCACAAGAAAAGATGAACTCTGAAAATTATGTGTGCTGTGTAAGTTCATAAAGAGTTCTTGATTAAACCTAAAGGCTACATTAATTTTTTTGGTAGATTCTAAAATGTATCCTAATCTGGAACTCAATACTAATGGTAGATAGAAAGCCATAATGAGGGAGTGGAGAGACCAGACACTTGTCATGTATTTGGGGATCAGAAAATGTGGGTTGTGATCCCACACTTGGCTTTAGTTTCCCTTTCTTAAAACAGAGACACTAATTCCTAGGCTACTCTATAGATGTTGGTATAATACTGATTGTGGGCTGGGCGTTGTGGCCCACTTTGAGAGGCTGAGGCGAGTGGATCAC